CTGTAATAAACACATTCTGGATGGCCAGCTCTGAGTTCGATTCAGTAATCTTTAAATTTAGCCTCAAATTGCCTAAAAGTACCTTCAACCTTTGATCTCAATTCATGTAAGCCACTAAATTCCTATCTGCTGTGGTTGTTTGTGTTTGGGCACTTGCAACCAAAAGTGCCTCATTAGTACATGGTAAGAAATCATAGGCAGAGGTGGTGAGGGTGGAGGTTCACTCCAGTCTCTTTTCATCCCAGGTAACAGTCTTGCCTCTTCTAGGTACTCTACATATTCTCAAATCAGGAAGTTTCCACTTGATTAGCTAGGAAAGAATTTTATGAATGTGCTTTCCCTTTCATAATCATTGTGGCACAGGAAGTAGGCACTCTGCAGCTCCATGCCATCCCACAGAGTAAGCCTAGTGTAGTTTGAGAGCCACTGACCCTGGGGGTTAACCTTGATCTACTATACCTGGCTATGTGACCTTGGAAATATCTCTTTCCTTCTCCTGGCCTAAATATCTTCTTGTATAACCTGAGCAAGATATTACAATTCTATGTGTCTAGGACTCTGTATACCTGCCCTGTCTCCATACATGAAGCAACATCCAGAGCAGTTTAAGTGATGACATACATTATATTTGATGTCCAGCTAGAAAAGGTGACTATTCAGTTAACTAATCATGCGTGCATGGACAGCGCACGGGAACACATGTGGAAAGATAGTGAAAGTGTAAAACAATGACCATGACCGACTTGGTAGAGATGTAACATTAGCATTCAGGAAGAAGCTCTCTACTGCCTGTCAGTCCTGAGTGATGTGCTCTTGACCCAGCTGCCCCCTCATCACAAGACCTACTGGGATCCTGCCTGTCTCTCTTTCCCTGTAGCCTCTCCTCTGCGACTGACAGTGGTGTCAACCACTAACACACTCCTGTGACTTCCTTCCAACATCCAAGACAAGAGAGAAGACGCAGTGTTGTAGTTACCAAAACTGGGGAGAAAAATAGTTTCACTACATCTGAAAACCTTGATTTGTATTGGAACACCAAATATATAATGCTATGAAACTATACAAATCCTCCAGCCATACCCAAATATCTCTAAAGAAAATAGCCAGCTCTGTCCTGAGAAGGTCCTATAGAACCAAGAATAGGTCCTAATGATATTCTGTTAAAGCTTCAGTGGATTCCAACAGTTCTTCCCCAATTCTATTTGCGAAGGAAGGAAGGAAAGAAGGCAAGGAGGCAGAAAAGGAGGCAATAATAATAACAACAATAACAACAACAACAACAAGTTCCAGGTAGAATAGTAGTTTTCAACCATGGTTGTATTTTGAAATCTCCTGGGTGAAAAATATTACTGTTCCAGCTCATGCACAGAGATGTTTAAGTTGCCCAGTGATTCCATTGTGCAATCAGGGTTGAGATGTAATGCAATATATTTTGTTAAATATTGACCCAAGAATATTCCGTTGCTCATGAAGAGTGGGACTCAAAAGGATTTTAGTTATTAAGAATTGCTACTGAAAAGCCCACCAGCCTCTTATTGCTGAAATCTAAGAAGCTGGAAGACTCCCTTTGTATTTTCTCTATTCTTTGGGGGAAGTACTGCCTTGCTCTCCAATCCTGAATCCCACTTCTCTGAGGGCTGCACAGTGGCCCTATGCACCTTGTCATTCTCCTTCCTGCTCACCTTTCTAAAATTATTACCGGATCAATGCTTCAGGCTCGGTATAGTGGGAACTCTTTTCCTGAAAGGAATATAGATTCTGTGGCTTTTAGCATCCATAGATCATTCCCACATCTCTTATTAGCTAGAGGTTCATTCGTTCACTACATCAAAACTTTTATAACTGCTGGCAAGTTGAAAAATACCTGAGGCAGAGTGATGAATTGGAAAAAGTAGTGCGCTGAGAATCTTAGAAACTTGAATCCAGTTACATATTTGCTCGTGCCTCTTTAGGTGACCTGAAGCGATTCACATAACCTTTCAAGCCTCTGTTTCCTTAAATGTGAAGTGGGAAAGTTGGATAATATCTCATTTCGGTTGCAACTCTGAAATGCCACACTGAATTCTCTTTTCCTATCCACCTTCTGGTAATGATGCTAATGAGCATTAAATGGTAAGAAAGTAACTAGAGGGGAAAAAAAAAAAAGCACAAGAAAAAAGCTAATGGTCCAGATAAGCCCCAAGTTGACAAAACTGCTCTGCAAGCATTGAACATATCCCTACAAGTTGCATTTTTAAAGACTACCATGGGATCATGTGATAGTAAAATTCAATAGTTGCTAGCTTCTGCCACTGGTTTATATGAGAAGATCATTCTTCCTCCCTCACACTATGAAAATCACCCTTACAGAATAAAAAGGCAATGAACTGATTCTATAGTTAAGTTGACCAAAGAGGGAGAAAGCTTTTAAAATTTTTTAAAAATTTTTAAAAAGCTTTTAAAATTTCTCTCTAATCTGCTAGGAAAGTTTTAAAATATTCAAACCCCAAGTTCAGTTCACTGTTCCTTCACAAAGCTCTGGCACCCACGTCTTTCCACTCTTTTCCTTCCAACTACCATGACCTTCTCCTCATGCCACCTCCTCCTCAAGACATCCTGCATTCTACCACTGCATATATCTTTATGCCTCTTGATGTATGACTTGTCTACTCCAAAAATGTTTTAAGACTCCTTATTTCCTGAAGATTAAGTCTAGACTGTTTAACTTGGCATTGATCTCTGTAGTGTAGCCCATAAACCTATCTTTCCCCTCATGTTTCCTCAACACATTTCTTATCCAGTCAGCCTGCTTTTTGTCCACCCGTCTTTCAGCTATGCCAACTGAAGTTCCTCTACTCTGCTTTTGCTCATGCTGTCCCCCCTCTATGTAACTGCCTTCCTGTTTTCCCCAACATAGACCAGTCTTGGTCATTTGTGGAAGCTGAGCCAACTAGCATTTCATCTCTTCCATAAAGCACTCCTGTGCCCTATGATGATCAATAATCTTCTCTTCCTCCCTCTGTTCCAGGCAGCTCTTAGATATTCCTGTATTGTCTACTGTGTTTTATTGCATTTTTCCTGGTTAGACCACATGATTCTAGAGGACAGAAATGTCTATTAAATGCTTCTACCTATCTTTCTGCCTCCCTCCATCCTTCCCTCTTTTGTTTTTCAATACGTCCTTCCTGTTCCTTTCATTTTCCTGTCATTTGTACAGTAGATTTTAGGCAATCTAGAAAGTGAGCAGGACTCACTATCAAAAAACAAAAACAAAAACAAAAACAAACCCCAGCAATACAGACTTAAACCAGTGAGATCCTCTGTATTTCTCTTTTATATAACCTGACCACTAAGACGCACAATGCACAAATTCTCTTGTGACCCTTAAATTTCAGCTTGGAATTCCACCTCCCTCAGTATGTTGGTTTGTGAGAAGACTTAGTGTTGCAAGAACACATATCCAAATTTAGGTTCCAATTTTACATTTTAATGTATAAGTTTTCCTAAAAGCACAGAAATGATCTAAGAAATATGAATATTTGAAAGAAAAGAGTGCAGTATTCCAGTATTCCATTCCTCTTAATTACCTATTTTGATGTGTTTAATCATGCATTCCTCATTTAGAGAGTTGGTGATAACAGAATTGCAAACTACTAAATTGAGAAGGGATCTTATTTTCTGGATTTACAGATGAATCATCTGTGGCTCAGGCACAGATATTTAATCTAAGTTACGTACCTCATCTTGCAAAGTTGTTTGCCCTCCTTCCCATTTGAATGGTACTTTTTCAGAAGGAGGTTCCCCTATCTTTACCAAATACTTTCTTTTAAGTCCTTTTGTTTCCTAAAGTTCTCTGTAAATAAAATGAAACCCTACCCAGAGTTGGGCAAGAAGTTCAACCAATAAAGACCTCTTTCAATTTTTGGAGAATCATACTTGTGATTCTAGGACAGACTAATTTTCTAGAAGAGGTAGAACTAAGCCTTGGTTAAAAAAAATGTTGTGGGTGAGCTATCGATTTAGATATTTAAACAGTGATTTTGTTTATTTTTTGATTCGATTCCAAGGAAGAGTCTAAAGCTCAGCAGAAGTGCTATAAAGATGGTGTATCCTTTGCCATAGGATGCTAGAACCCTCAAGTCAGGTTTGGCAGGGGCTGGGAAGCATACATGGCCCTTATTTGCTGCAATCCCTCCATTCAGGGAAGGAGGTGTACTGGAGGGATAACCCCTTAGGAGCTCAGGGACAATACACTTACCAAATCACACTGGGATCCCAGAGCACTCTTGAATGACCTCCCTCCCCTCTGCACAATGTCAGCACACACTGTGAAAGGATGAGTAGGATTTTCCCTACTCAAATCAATCCTCTGCCTACTTCAAGTATATTTCTGGACCAAACCCCTTCATTTTTATTCTGGAATTTTTTTTAAAAAGAACTTCTTTTGGGGGGCGGGGTGTCTTCAGAGTACAAACCAAACTACTCTTTTTGTTTTATTTTTTAAAACTTGGAAACAATCGCAATTGTACTTTTCTGCCTAACATGTTTTCTGTTAGGGCCTGGTGTCTCCAGATGTAAAGGCTAGCGTTGCCTTTCGTTTTCTGTTGAAGCAGCAGCCTAGACTTTCATCCCTGGAGAAGTGAATTTACCTCCCGGAACTTAGGTTTTCCATCTGTTCAATAACGGGGTTGATGGATGGCGGCTCAATTCTCAGCCATCGTAAACGTTGTGGGAGGCTGCGTGCCCCATTGCCTTTGAATGTCCAGCACAAGATAGTTAAAGGTTAAGGATCTCTCCAATGGAGAGTTGTTAACACAGAGGTCGAAGCACACGGTCAAGGTTTGCAGACTTGCTGAGCCTCGAAAATTCTTCTCTCCAAGATCTTCAGAGTGGGAAGCTGCAGCGTCCTCTCACCTCTATTCTGCTCCTCCTGCGCCCTGGCAAAAGGGACCCGCAGCGCGTCTCTGCCGGTCCCGATCACTCAGCTCTCTATACCTTCCCAAACCACAGTAAGCTGGAACCGCTACACCTAGCTCTGTTTTTCACTGCCCTGCCACTACCACTCCTCCAGGTCCCTCGAGGTCCGTATTACTTGCCAACCCCAGAAATCCTTCCAGCTGTGCCAGCAACACCTTATACCTCTTGCCCACCGCTCTGCGAGCGAAGCGCTGCTGCACAGTAGGGTACTCTCCAGGCGTCCGGAGCTCCAGTCCCACCTCCCCGCCCCAGTCTTTTCTGCTCAGAGCTCCACGCCCCGCCCCAGGACCCTACCGTCGCTTTCTCGGACGAACTCCCTTGGTGCTTTCCCGGAGCTCTACTTCTAGCATCCACCCAGGAAGAACCATTCCTTCCCCCCACCCCCTCAGATTTCCCAGCCAAAGCAAAAGCCAGTCAGTGAGCAGGGTGCCTTGTACAGCCAAGGCACCTGGACTGGCCACTCTTCTGGGCGGGGGCACAAAGAGGCACCCGACCTCTCGGGGTGCACCTGGCTGGGCAGCCACCTGGCAGGGCCGGATCCTGAGAATAGCTTTCCGTTTGAACCCGGGACCAAGACTCCGGAGTCGCTGCCTCTAGCCCTTGGGCACCCCCTGAGGTCACCCGGACCCCAACCAAGCTCGAGTACCGAGCGCGGCTGGAACTCCGCACAGCTTGCGGAAGCTCAGCGGCCCGACACGCTCCTTTCCGGCCCCCTCCTTGGAGGGGCGCGCGGGGGCCTGGAGAGGCACCTCCCGCCCGCCTGCCTACCCTCCCCTTTTTCCTCGCCCGCCCACCCGGCCTGCGCTGCGCGGCTCAGCGCTGCGCTGGGATTCTAGGAGGGAAGTGCGGCGCTCAGTCCCTGGCGTCCTCAGTCCTGCCCCCAGAAGTGGAGATGAGCGAGAGGCAGGCGAGGGCGCGCAGCTCCTGAGACGCCGCGCTAGCCGGCACCATGCGCCTGCGGCCGCTGCCCCTCGTCGTGGTCCCGGGCTTGCTGCAGCTGGTGAGTGCCCAGCCTGCTGCTCCGCTCTATGCGCTGGGGATGCGTTTCGGCGGGAAAATCACGCTGGTGACCGACTCGCAAGCGGAGCTAGGGGCTGCTTGAGAAATGGGGCTGGGGGAGCTTGGAATGAAAGAAGTTTTGGATTGCTTTAGGGCTTGAGGGAAGAAATGGGGACTCGAATAGAGGGGACCTAAACGCGAATGAGGGGCTTAGCAAAGGTTAGGATTTGAGGGCTGAGATAAAGTAGGCAGAAAGTGGCCAGAAGGGAGGTGCTGGAGAAGAAAAACGGTTTATGGATAAGGTCTGTAAGAGGGTGGGAGTCGATGGGTATGATGAGGATGGGTTGAAAGACCTTCCTGCATCCCAGAGATTGAGAGACTTGGCGGTTTTTATTTTCACGTGTTTGGCCCAAATGCCCTCAGACACTTCTTCCAAAACAGAGCATCATGTGTCCTATTTCATAGGGCTAGGTGGAGGCGCCTTGATGGGGGGAACTTATGCAAAAGACAGATTTTAGGGGGCAGCTTGAATTTCTCTTTATTTTCTGCCTGGCACTGGGGACTGGGATGGGGTTTTCTGCCGGCTGGGAACGCGAGATATAAATTTGGCGCCCAACTCTACGCAAGAAATCTTTAAATGGTCTTTTCTCAGAGACTTCTTTAACCTGGTCTGGGGATGTCCAGGAATTGGAAGGGTATTGAAAGGTGGCTCCGGATTTACTAGCGACACTGGGCGACTATTCCTGTTAGGACTCTCTGGGATTTCTCTTATACGCGTCATGCTCTCCTCCTCCCGATATATGGTCCTATATTATATACATGTTTTGCTAGTTAATTTAAGATCGACCCAAAGTAAGACCTTCGGAAGCAACTTTTGAATAATATTGTAGAAATAGACTGCTTTGACTTGGCCGGACTCTTTGATGGATTTCTCCTGGTCACTTGGCACCAGTCTTGCTCGATCTGGTACTATTAAAAGAGCTTCTCCCAAAGCCACGGTTTCTTTGATCCTCATACTTAAATTTTACTCACTTAACTCTGGCTATTAAAAACCAGATTAAAGGACCCAAGAACATACAGAAAAACAATCACTTCTCTTTCCTTTGCCTTTTAGAGGGAAAATCAAATAACTTATGAAAGTTTCTCAGTGACATGTACAATATTGTACAGGCAGAGGCACTTTCCAAGTGTCAAGGGTGGAAGGGTCTGTAAAAGGAATAGGAGAGACAACACCAAACAGTCTGTGGACCATTCTGTCACAACAGAGATTAACTTTACCTGCACAGTGCTAACTCAGACATTCTTCAGTGGCATCAAGGAGAAAATGCAGTGATATTCCTGAATGTCCTAGAATAAGCCCGCACATACTGGTTATTTACAATTCAGCATGTTAAAATAATTTTTACATCTAAAGCCCTATGCATCCAGAATATATACCACATTAATCTTTAGTATTACTTGCTTTAAAAAAATTTAATCTAAATTTCAATGAAAGGTGAGCCAACAAAGCAGTATTTGTAACATGTAAGAAAAAGCCTGGGGAGGGGGGATCAGGTAATTATTGTAGGGTTATAGAATACCTTCAGAAACCTTAGTTCATTAATTTTGCATTCAATGATTGTAGACTGTGTCTTTGCTCCATAACTGCTGTGTTAGGTTCTTAAAAATGATGAAATATATTTGGGCATTTGTTGGGGAAAAGTTCTCCTATCAGCTACTATTTTGGAAATGTTAGATTCCCCCCCACACACACACACACACACACTCAATAAGGACTAGGAAATGCATCTTAAAGGGATTATATACCCTCCTTAAGAGCTAGATTCTAATATTACAGCACAGATTGATTGATTACTTTTTAAGGAAGCTTATGTCAAATTTTAATCCATTTTTGGATTGTGCTGCGGTTGTAATGTTTTTTTCCTGGAGCACTTTATCATGGTAAGTGAGGTAGGTAGCTGCAGCCCTGTGATAAGCACACAAGCCTTACACTGCCATCCTCTTGGACAATAAAAGGCTGTTTACATTCTCCACATTCTTAGAGCTGTTTCCAGCCTTATAACACAAGGGGGTTAGGATGTGAAAGAAAAACAGAGTGGCTGAGCAGGGTAAATCTAAATTGTAATAATGCCCAATTCTACTATACCCCCACCCCAGTAAATATCAAAAAAGACAGATCATAATTTGTTCCTTTGGATGGTCATAGTTTTGTTCTATCTTTCCCAGATGATATTGAACTTGTTTTTTAAATCCTAAAAGCAAATGGATATTTTTTTTTAGAATTGAAAACTAGTCTTTTTTAGTATTCTAGGAAACATAAGTACTCAAAAGACCTGCTCTCTGCTATATAGATATTTTAAAACTTGTTGGAGGGGGAGGGATGGACTTACATTCTTTTGTAAATTGGGTTTTAGTCTTCCATCTTCATTGGCAGCCTGAAGAAATATACTTTTTTAAAAAAATGCTAAATATTTTAAATAAGTATTGGATTTATTTAGGCATATTCAACATTTATTTACATGAAAATTGCCTGTTTCATCTGAAAGCAGTAACAGGGAGTTGGCCCCAAATAAGTCTTCAACCACATTATGCTGTTAGAACAACTAGAATGTTTTTACTTATTTTTCTGATATTTAGAACTTTTAAGTAAATAATAAACTGAACTGATAAATATTGCGGGTGGCCTATGAAGAATGGGTGTATGCTCCCTGTCGTTGCTCAATTTTGCTGGCCTCTGTCCAGCCTTTTTAACAGATAGGTTGCTATACCTAATAAATGAGATGACTGGACACTTGCAAAATTTAGATACCCACATTGAATGCATTCTTTTTTTGATATTCTTATTCAGTAGCATTCTCTTTTTTTATTTGCTCTTTTTAGATAGGCATTACCGTAGAGTGTATTTTCACATAGTATACATACATGGAATATAACTTATTCTAATTAGGATCTCCTTCTTGTGGTTGTATATCAGTAACATTCATTATAAGAATATTGGTAGTACATTATATCTTTTCTGACACCCAATTAAGAAAAATTATTTGGAATTAATATTGTTAAAAAATGAGTGTTGTTTCATGACATTATACTCTAGTATGATGACATTTGCTCTATGTTGAGACAAAATGTAGAAGTGATTTAAAACAGGTTTGTTGAACATTTCAACTAGCTTTTCTGTGATACAGTGCCAAATTTATAAATAAAAGCTAAAAGTGATGTAAATAAGCAAATTTTTAGAATACTATAAAATAAGAACCCTTGTGATGTAAGAAAGTATAATTTTAAGTTCATCTTGTTATGTATTTTTGTCTTACATAGATATATAAAGGATATTTATATTTATTTTAACAAAGTAATGATTTTAATATTTGTTTAGTGTGATATGCATATTTATTCCTTGTTTTATATTTAGCAGAAGTTATAACCCATAACCATCATTCATTCAAAAATCACAATTTCCTTCATGTAGTACTAATCTATAAACATCAAAACAGCATTTCCCAGGGTAGGATCAATAGTCATCTGTTGGCTAGATGGCAATGCAGAGGAGAAAAAGAAAATACTTCCATATCATGGTTATGACTGAGAGATAGCTGGGCTTTAAAATTAATATATGAGCATCAATGTCTTAGAATTTTTAAATATATTAATTAAGATTGGACAATTAAGTCCTTGGTTCCAGCCATCTATCTCTCAGTAAAACCTGAATTTTCTTAACCTATTCTGAGATTATGGTACCTGGTCCAGTTTAAATGCCTTTGACAGAAACTGACTCCTCTGGGGAACTTACATTGCTTGATAGATTTCCGAATTAAAAAAGAAAAGCTTTTTTAAATCTTCATTCTCTATTTTTTTCTGAATTTTCTTTTCTTTTTATTGTTTCCGTTTAAGGGTCAGAATGCTAAATAAGGTAGAAGTCTTTTTTGAAAAACCTTTCAAGGTTTACATTGTCAGTTTAAAATGCATAGTTATTGCAAAGTGAATGAATTAAATGTTAATTTGTCATGTGCAACATGATGTTTTGAAGCATACATTTATAATATATTACCTATCTTTTATCTATTAAGGAGTTAATCGATGCATCTTGAATGGTTTACTCATTTAGTGGTAGCAATCAAAGGTGAATAAATGTGTCACAGGGTTGTGATTTTATAAAAGCTCTAGGATGTCTCCTACTGTTTACATATTCTGTAGACTCCTTTACCTGAAGCTTTGCTGGGTAAGGTTTGAAAAAAAAGAATTATAACCACATACTGAAGTGCCTACAGTTAAGGCTGTGTCAGCATTTCTGTGAAGAATCTCATTTCTATCTTAGCCATAAGCATTATTGCTGGTTAGAAGCTGGCATTTAATATCTTGATTTGGGAATCAATTATTTTAAAGCTGCTTTAAAAAATTGGCTCAAATGATTCTGAGCATTCACCCATGAGAGGTTGCTCTCTAGGTATGCTTATAGTGTGCAGGATGGTGATTTAGAAAACTAATTTCTGTATTATTGACTTAATGACTAAACTAACAGGCAGAATCCTATAGTTAAGACTTGCATATGATTATAACCTAAGTTGTAATAAAATTATTTTAGGTAATCTTTTTTCAATTAACCTATTTATTGTATCGTTGTGTGACTGTAACACTGTTTTATCAGAAGCCTTTTTTGTGGTGTCAGACTCAGGTACCCAATTCAGTGTTTTTATGAATCTTTATTTACTAACAATCTTTTAAATTTGTATTACTAGTGATATGACCAGTGGTGTGGATGACAACTCTATTCTTTATTTGCAAGTTCTGCTCAATAAAAAAGTGATCTCAAGTAATTTACAGTATAGATTTTTATATTATGGAAAAGATTCTAAGATTTAATTGACTGAAAATGTCTATTTTATGCTACTTTAATTTGTGAAACTCTAAATGTAGACCCACAAAAAAAAACTGTTTGGTTCAATATGCTATACAATTTGTATAATAAGGAATTCTGTTTCTTTATAGAACTACCATTAAAAC